AAGTTAGAACAAGAAAAAGAACAAAAAGAACAAAAAAAATAAAAATGCAAAGAATGAAAAAAAGAAAAGAAGAAAGAAAAGAAATGAAAAGAATTGAAAAGAAAAGAAGAACAAAGCTCGCAAGGTTGAAAACCCAAAAAGGGCGGCCTTGGCAAAAGTTAGAGCCCAAAAGGAGAGGTTAATACCCGAGTGTACCTTAACCCCGAACTACGTAAGGCTTGATTCCCATGTTTGGGATACGTAGGCAACTTCATTCTGAAGTCTAGCCATAAACACTTCAAATTCGACTGTGTCCATGTGATGGTTCTGGTCATCTTTGTCTTTTCTGTATCCGAGAATTCGGTCGTAATTGTCACTGTGAGGACTGGTTGCCATGTGCTGTGGCGCTATTCAGACTAGGGGCAACTTTCCGTTGCCGTGCAGTGCTGCGGTGCTATTCAGACTAGGGGCAACTTTCAGTTGCCATGCAGTGCCGTCCGGACAAGGGGCAATTTTCCATTTGTTTTGGATCTAAGGTTGTGCATCTCAAGAGTAAATTCTGCGTTGGTCGAGCAGTGGCCATTTACAAAAATAGTTTTTGAGAATTTTTAATGAGGTTGACTAATTCTCTCAAAAATTATTCCATTTTTCTAAAACTGGACCATTTCTTGGACCCAAAAAAGGAAAATTTTCAGTGCTCATAGCCTGATTTGCATGATTTCAAATCAAAAAGTTGGACAAGTATGTTAATCTAACTCTCATGTTGGTCAAAATTGTTTTAGTAAAAACCAAAACAAAAAAATGGTCAAAATAATGAACTAGTCAGGTGTTCTGTCTTTTCCCTGTTGTCAACATACTTGCCAAAAAAGGGCACTCTACCTGCCAGAAAAGGGCATAACTGAAGCTAACAACAAAGGACTGAAAGCTCTTAACATCCTCCAAGCAACGAGGTATCGAGCCAAGTGCGAAGCATGAACTGGAATGGATCAAGATACTCCATTCCCTTATCTGGGGCATCGACAAGACGTTGTTAGAAGAAATAGCTGTGAGCTGAATATACTGGGCATGAGTCCATAATCTTCAATTTATCCATCAACCATTTTTTGGGAGGGATTGAAAATGAGAGATTGAAGAATAGAGAGATGTGCATTGAGAGAAAAAGTGAGCAAAGTGTTTTTGAAAGAAAAACAAAGCTTGAGGGTCGAGGGATGTGAGAACCTCAAATAAGAAAGGGTGGGAAACAATACCCGAAGAAACTGGCACCCTGTGAACCGAGAGGTCTCCCGTCTTTGTGTTACGTCTCTGTGTTGTATCTTTTATTTTGTTCGTCTCAATTCTAGCCTTGAGTTGTTTTGAGCATCAATAGATGTGTTTAGGTTGTGTACCTTTTGTTTTTCTTCGTTGAGTCATTTTAATTGTGATCTGTCATAGGCTCAATACCCGGTCGAGAACTCATTTCTCCATTTCAAAATGATTTGTTTTGTGCGCAGAGTGCTGTGTCATTCTCCACATTTGCGCAAAACATGATTTGTTCTTTCATAAAACCGCAGGGGTTCAATCCAGGTTATGTCAGAACAGTAAAACCAGGACCTATCTGAAGCTACATGGGTTCCAGGCTGTGAAGCGAAAGAAAAGAGGGAAAATTTGGAACATCTGAGTTTTTCTCAACTTCTGCATGTTCCATTATTACATCCCATACGTTCAGATTAAACTGTTTATTCAGAATAAGCAGTGTTCAGAACGAGCTATGTGTTCAGAGTAAGCAGTGTGTTGTGTGAGCCGTCTGCAGAATGAACAGAGTACTGTGTTGCATGAGTTATGCGTTCAGAATGAAGTATATGAGCTGCGTGCAAATTGAAGTATATGGGCTGCGTGCAAATCAAAGTATGGGCTGCGTGCAGAATCAAAATATGGGCTGCGTGCAAAATCAAAATGTGGGTTGCGTGCAAATTGAAAAATGTAAGCTATGTGTTCAGAATCAAATGCATGAGCTGTCTGTTCAGAATGAAGTATATGGGTTGCGCGCAAATTGAAGTGAATGAGTTGTATGTTCAGAAATGAAAATTTATGAGTTGCGTGTTCAGAATTTAGAATGAGCTGCGTGTAAATGAAAATGTATGAGCTGCGTGTTCAGAATTGAAATGTGTGAGCTGCGTGTTCAAAATGAAGTGAATAAGCTGTGTGTTCAGAAATGAAAATTTATGAGCTGCGTGTTCAGAATTAAGAATGAGTTGCGTGCAAATGAAAATGTATGAGCTGCGTGTTCAGAATTGAAATGTGTGAGCTGCGTGTTCAAAGTGAAGTGAATGAGCTGTGTGTTCAGAATGAAAAAACGCTGAGCTGGGTGTTCAAAAATCGAAAAATGAGTTGTGTGCCCGAAAAATGAGCTGTGTGCCCCCAAGATGTGCTGTGTGCCCCAAAATGTGTTGTGTGCCCGAAATGAACTGTGTGTTCAGAATAAGCCGTGTGCCCCAAACGAACCGTGTGCCCGAAATGAGTTGTGTGCTCGAAAAATGAGCCGTGTGCCCCAAATGAGCCGTGTGCCCCAAATGAACTGCGTGTTCAAAAAATGAGCTATGTGCCCGAAATGGGCTGTGTGCCCGAAATGAATTGTGTGCCCGAAAAATGAGCTGTGTGCCCCTAAGATGTACTGTGTGCCCCAAAGGTGCCGTGTGGCCCAAAACGAGCCGTGTGCCCGAAATGAGCTGTGTGCTCGAAAAATGAGCTTTGTGCTCGAAAAATGAGCTGTGTGCCCGAAATGAGCCGTGCGCCCAAAAAATGAGCTATGTGCCCGAAAAATGAGCTGTGCGCCCAAGAATGAGCTGTGTGCCCGAAGATGAGCCGTGTGCCTGAAGAATGAGTCGTGTGCTTGAAAATGAGCTGTGTGCCCGAAATGAGCTGTGTGCTCGAAGAATGAGCCGTGTGCCCGAAATGAGCCGTGTGCCCAAAATGAGCCGTGTGCCCAAAAAATGTGCTGTGTACCCGAAATGAACTGTGTGTTCAGAATAAGCCGTGTGCTCGAAAAATGAGTTGTGTGTCCAAAATGAGCCGTGTGCCCGAAAAATGAGCTGTGTGCCCGAGAATGAGCTGTGTACCCCAAGATGAGCTGTGCGCCCAAGATTTGCTGTGTGCTCGAAATGTGCTGCGTGCCCGAAATGAGCTATGTGCCCAAAACAAGTTGCGTGCTCGGAATGAGCTGTGTGCCCAAAAAAGCTGTGTGCCCAAATAAATACAGTGCTGTGTTTCGAGCTACATGCCAAATGAACAGAATATTGTGTTGTAAGCCGCGTGCCAAACAAACAATTGTTGCGCTGTGAGCTGTGTGCCAAATGAATGGAATGTTATATCGTAAGTTGTGTGCCAAGTCTTGCATTGTGCATGCATTTTATCACGCTACTTTGCGTATCGCACTGTTTTGTGCACCTTTACTTGCATAGAAGATGCATTTTATCACGCTATTTTGCGCATCGCACTGTTTTGTGCACCTTTACTTGTATAGAAGATGCATTTTATTGCGCTATTTTGCACATCGCACTATTTTGTGCACCTTACTTGCATTGTGCATGCATTTCACTCGCATTGTCTTGTGCACCTGTATAGCACTGTTTTGTGCATTCCCTCTGCATCGCACTGTCTTGTGCACTTTTTGATTAAAATCGATGTTTGGCAAAGCAGTCCATGCTTGGCGCTTTTTGATTAAAATCAATTTTTCAAAACAATTTTCCAGATATGGACTCTTTGGTAATTTATCAGTCTTACATTGCACTTTGTGAGATTAGATTCAGAACCATGACAGGAGTCCGAACTGTAGTAGCTAGAACCACAATTCTCGCCCTCGAGCGCGGAGCGGAGTTCGGGCGGTCTACAAGGTGTTCATTGGGGAAAATTAACATGACAAGAGGAAGAAAATCAAATTTCTTTAGCCATCACATAGATTAATTTATTCCAGTCTTTCAAAATGTTCTCCACAAAGGTAGATAAACCCCATGACAAAGAAAATCAATATGCCAAAGAAAATTACACACATCGATTTCGAGTTGATTTACAGTAGAGATGTTCGTTGTTTATTGATTTCGAGTTGATTTGGCTAGAGAAAATCACATGGGGGAGTGTGTGATTGGGCTAGAGAAAATCAACATGACAAGGGGAAGAAAATCAAATTTCTTTGGCCTTCACACAGAGAAATTTATCCCAATTTTTAAAAATATTCACTGTAAAAGCAGAGAAATCCCATGATAGAGAAAATTAACATACCGGAGAAAATTACATACACAACTAGCTTGAAGAAGAAACTCAAAACGGAAGTAGTAATTAAATTCCAGAGCAAAATCAACAGGCACAAGGGAAATTTTAGAAAAATTTCATATCTCAAGGGGATATCTTAATGCAAGAAAAATTGTAGAGAAAATCAACATGCTAGAGATATTTCATCTTTACAAATTTCTTTGGTTATCACACACAAATCTGAGAGTCTAATGTGGTTAGAGAAATTTCAAATGTTAGGTAAAATTTCGCACATAAACACAACCAGCTTGAAGAAGAAGCTCAAAAGGGAAGTAGTAAGTAAATTCTAGAGAAAATCAACAAGCACAAGGGAAATTCCAGAGAAATTCCATATCTTAAGGGGATATCTTAATGCCAGAGAAATTGCAGAGAAAATCAACATGCTAGAGAAATTTCATTTTTACAAATTTCTCTAACTATCACACACAAATTTGGCCAAAGTTTTAGGCAAACAAAATCAACTTATCAAGAGGTAAAGCTTTCACAAATTTCCCTAAAATGGCAAAGAAATTTATCTCAGTCTTTTGGTTAGAAAAAATCAACTGAAATAGGTATGATGCTTTTCAAAATGTTCGTTGTAAAGGCAGAAAAATTTTATTTTTACAAATTTCTCTGACTATCACATACAAATTTGGCCCAAGGTTATGAAACCCTAATTATGAATAGAGATGAACTGAGATGAAGATGAAATGACTCAAGGATGAATAGTGAAAATGCATCAGACAAATTTGTGAAGAATGTCAAAGATTTTCACTGCCAATTGTGAGGATGAAACCCTAATTTCGTTGTATCGTGAAGATGAGGAATTTGATTGTGGAGATGATGATCTCGATTGTGGAAATAATGAAGATCAGTCGTTGGAAAAAAAAATGGAAGTGTTTTTCTCTGTGATGGTGGAGGGTATTTTGGTCCAAAAACTTAATACAAAAAATGCCTTTTTTTTAGGGACCTGATCTACTATGTTTTTTTAGAGTGTCCTTTATCCCTTGAATTCATAATATTAGGGACCTTAAAAGAAATTCTCCTACAAAATAAAAGTGAGTAAGCTGCCAAAGTAAAAGAAGAAAAATAGTAATCAGTAAGTCCTATTGAGTGGACTTATTTACTCACAAATAATGAATGATTTTCTTTTTTTCTTTTTTTATAACTTATTTGAATATTGTTTTGATGATGTAAAAAAATTGAGACTTTTTAGATGTATTTTTGTATTTGTAGAATAATCGTTTGGTGCTGGTAATCATACTGATAAATTTATCAAAGTGATAAATAATTAAAATATTTTAACTTTTTATTATTTATGAGTTTTGATTTATTTTTAATTTATTTGTGTTAGTTTGCATTGATATATGATGTAGAGAAATTTAAATAATTGAATTGTATACTTTAATTTTTTTTTTTTACAATGATAATAATAAGTCTGGTCCACAATAGTTGCTTGTAAGTAGGGGTGTAAAACTGGCCCCGGGTCTGTGGCGGCCTGAAACCTGCCCACGGCTCGGGATGGGACTCAGCCTCATCCAGTTAGGCCCAGGCCTGGTCCGGGCCCGGCCCCAGCCCGGAACCTTGGGCCTGGTGTAGCTTGTTTTTCGTGCTCCTTTCAAATACAACTAGCCCTACAGTTCGGACTCCCGTGGTTCTGAATCTGATCTTACAAGTGCAATATGAAATAAATAAACACAAAAGAATCAAAATTCGGTAAATCTTTTGGTAAATCGATTTTGAATAAAAAATGAACTGCTTTGCCAAATTATAGAGTCGCCACCTAAATATTTTTGAAAAATTTAGGAAACCCGTGACTCATGCCAAAGGCCACTTATCTGTCATCACCAAAGTGTCTCGGCTCGAGAACTTAGGTATGAGAGGGGAAGGTCATAAATTGAACACCCTACTCACTCGATCAAAGATCGGCCTCTACTAATTATGATGTGATTTTTATTTACATTTTATGCCCTTGTTTCGATTTATTAGGCTATCTTTACTATGTGATGCACACAAATATAGACTAATTTGTAAAAGTTGGAACACTTTGATTTTATGTTTGTTTGAAAATTGTTTTAAATATGCGTCACTTGAAAATGTGAGTTTGTATATACATTAATCAATGCATCCTAATTTTCCCAATTAGCCTTCATCCACCGGCATTCAAACATGTATATCACTTATGCATTTAGACTCATGGAAAGCATGCTCGATATGGAAACACAAACATACGATGTGGCATGCTAAAATACAAAATACTCACCTAGTATTCCGAGTTAAGCCAAATAAAACAAAATGATTAGAAAACACGCATGCTTCTAATTAATGCAAAATGACTAACGTGACACATGCAATCATGCAATTACATAGGTTCGGCTAGTAGCATGGTATATGATCCAATTCAAGACATGAGATAAATCACGTATTCGAGTATTGAAGTTGAATATGACATTGGTTAGTATGATGAGCTAGATCCAAATGTATATGGGACGAGTGGATACAAGTTATGGAAGATGCAAAGTAAATATAATGCTACCATTATAAGCGAGTAAATAAAAGAGAGAAAGAAATTGGGGTTGGAAGACATACACCATTATTATATATTTACCCTCATGCAACAGGGTCCGAATGAGTATCCAAATGTCCTGATTAAACTAACTATTACAAACCAAATAAATAAGAAATAAAATAGCTATCTAATGTATTACAACAAGGATGATAATGAGCAATAAACCAGCTATCTAAGTTAACTAGCTATGACAATTACAAACAAACAATAATAATAATTACAACCATATTAACTACAACAATAATAATAATTAATTACAATAATAATGGGACCATCAATTTACAACGTTGATATAAACAAAGATGCACAAGGATCGCATGCATGTGACGGTTTTTAGAAATAGCTATGTTTGCCTCCCTGGGAATCTGCCATATTTCATCTTTAGCCACTGCCTTCTGTTTCTGCAAAAACACTCTGTTTACCAAGCATTGGAGCCCAGTTGGTTCCTAATGAGGCTCGGCCGAGTCCAAATGCAGCCGGCCATGCCCTAAATTTAGGCAAAAATCTATTTTTGTGCTCTGAGGTGAAAACAGTGCAGACAAAGCCTTTCTGAGCTCTATTTATCCCTTCTACTCTTCTCTATCATGGGAAAGCTCTAGAGAAGAACGAATTCATTTCCAAAACTATCAATAAGAACAACTTGATGGCTTGATGATTTCGAACACGATTGGACAAAAATCAATAAATGCAATAAGAGACAACCGCCCCTCCCTCCTATCATGAAGGCTCAAAGAGGGAGGTAGACGCGCCTTAAGATCCATCAAAACATCATGAATTGATATGTGACGATTCTTGACACGATGAACACGATATAGATTTGACTTTCTTCGCCCCCCCTTTCGAATTGGTCTCCTACAGTTCGGACTCTTGTCACGATTCTGAATCTAATCTCAAAAAGTGTAATGTGAGACTGATAAACACCAAAGAGTCCAATCCAGCAAATCATTTTGGAAAATCGATTTTGAATCAAAAAGTGCCAAACATAGACTATTTTGCCAGATTACAGAATCACCACCTAAATATTTTATTTTTGGAAAATTTAGGAAATCCTGACTCGTGCCAAAGGCCACGTTTCCGTCATCACCAAAGTTGCCTCGGCTCGAGAACTTGGGTACGAGAAAGGAAGGTCCTGAAATGAGCATTCCCGCTCGCCCGATCAAAGGATCGGCCTCTACTAAGCATCATATGTTGTTTTATAAACCTCATGTGTTCTTATCCAGTTATTAGCTAACTTTACTATGTAATGCGTACAAGCAAGTATAGACTAAATCGCGAGAATTGGAACAAAACAACTCATGTTTGTTTTCGAAAATGGTTTGAAGGTGCCACTCTCAAGTGGGCTAAAACATGGATTTTCCACTCTCGGGTGGGCTTAAAACTTGATTTTTCCGCTTCACAAAGTGAGCTTAAAACTCACATTTGTCAAATTGTTCCAATTCAAGCAACCAAGCCATCACCTACAGGCATTCAAGCAGTTAATCATTTAAGCAAATAGCCTCATGGCAAGCATACTATCATGGCAACACTCACACTCATGCAAGTATGCTAAAGCGTAAAAACTTACAGTGTACTCCAAGTCAAAACCAAAGCTAATTAGGAATATACATGATCCTAACTATGCTAGATGCCTAATGTAACACATGCAATAATATAACTAAGTAGGCTCGGCTATCTAAGATGGCATATGAATGTAACAATTTGATACACGTATTCAAATAAGCATTGAAATACGATGCAGTTTGAATGATGCGCCGAACCCAGTGCATGCAATACAAATGAATTATGCAAACATGCAAAGCATAAGGTATGCTAACCAAAATGTGCCCTAAAACTAACCATCGAAAACGGTTAAGTAAAAGGGAGAAAGAAGTGTGGTTGGAAGACATGCACACACACACACACACTTATTACAACATTGCGCTCTCGTGAATGAGGGTCCAAATGAATAAGCTAAGCTACTCTAAGCTAAGCTAATCAAACTAATCTAATTAAAATAATTAGACTAATTATTACAAAACAAAATAAAGAAATAACTAAGCTAAGCTACTTAATTATTACAACACTTAACTAATTATCAAACTAATTAATTAAATTACAAAACCAATGCACACTACATGTAAAGCATTAACTATACTGCCTCAGCTCTTCTTTAGGAAATTGAAAATGCATGCACTCGATTTTCGCTCCGAAAAGCCTTTCAGTTTGCTCTTGAGAGGCTCTGTTTGCAGGGTTACTCCAGGAACTTTATGCTCCAGCTTACCAAACCAATGTTGAGGAATGCACCAGTGGCCTGTCGGCCAGGAGTGCTTGTTGCCGGCCAAGGATGAAGCACTGCCGACCATCAGTGAGCCACTGCCGGCCACTGAATCACCATACTACAACAGAGCACAAACAGAGGAAAATGGAGAGTTTTCCAAGGATATGTTTGTATTGTGCACCTCCTTATCATCTTAAAATATCAAAGGAACAGCATTCTTGGATCCAAAACCACCAATCAAGCATTTTCAATGCATGATGGCCAAAGATCCAAGTTGTGCACTTTCAATAAATGCACAAATATGACACAAAGGACCACCACTCTATCATGTATGATCAAGGGTGATGGAGACAAAGGAGATTGGTTCATTTCATCACTTTGAGTATGAAATGAACCAATCTACCTTGTGTTCAATATAACGTCCGATTGAACACAATGCAATGCAAACACAACATGCTTATCTTAGTCATGTTTTACTTGTCCAATTCTTGTTTACACATTTTAGCATTACCAAGCCATTCTTTAATCGGTTAGGTTCAAAGTGATTGTCCTCTAATGAGAGAGGGGTCAACCAAAGGATGGTTTAAGACATAAGAGAGATCATGCCTTTGGCTAGGAGGAACTCTCAAAAGAAGGTTAAAGCCATGGAGCACAAGCTCTGTCTCAAGCTTAAACACAATCATAAGGTTAACCAACCCTCAAAACAAATAGAAAAATGAAGAAATGAGGGAGGTTGCAGACTTTTCAGTGCTAAAATGGCATGATAAATGATGCTACGACATGTAAGCAACTCATGCACAACATGTTCAAAAGCCAAAAACACCAAACTAGTGAAGAGCACTACACTAGAGGCATGCAATATCAGGCTCAAATGACCAAACCAACTCTGGACAAAGCTAGAATATGCCAAAATAATGGTTAAAACATGCTAAGATGGTAGCATAAAAGGCAAGACAGAGGTTATGATAAACAAGGCATAACTCTCAAAAGCAATGAAAGAATGAAGTACATGCGCACATGACAGAGGTTATGATACTAAAATTGCATGCAAAATGATGCTACAACATGCAAACTACTCAAACACTTCATGCTCAA